ATATGTGTATATATATATATATATATATATATAAAAAAAGATAACATCATTTGTAAGCGATTGTTAAAAAACTCAAGTATATATATGATATTGTAATTGCATAATGCACTAGAAATATATAAATTGAAACTCTGTCTAAATTGATAGAGACTCTTGAAGTATCGAGTGTTCATACAATTTATAAATTTAAACGGGGCGAAACAAGAACGAACAAATTATTCGGGTCAACAGCACGCACGAGTTACTCGTGATAATCCTCCTTGGAAAATCCTTCGCACAGCTCCAATTTCACGTATTATCCTTGAAAATCCGCGTTTTCATATTTGACGAGGTACGATGCTAAATGATTTCTTCGACACTAAACTTCGTCACCACAGGACGTCATTTTCTTAAAGTGGCAATATATTATACATACAGTGCCATATATTCTAACAAAAAATAAAACACAAGGTTATTATAGAAAAAATCTTTATTGATAGATGCACAATAATCAAGAATTAAATCGCGATATGTATGAATATTCTCTCGATCTATTTTATTTGCAATGTTCACGAATTTTACTTCTATTATATTTGTACTTCTATGCGTCTTCAACATCTTTTATTTTTTTTTAGTATATATACATTTTTATTTATTTTATATAAATCTTTAAGGATGTGTTACACATAATTTGTTTATTTGTTAACAAAATGAAAAAAATTATGAACGCGGGAAGAACAATTTTGCGCTGAAAAATTAAAAAATTTAGATATATAAATATATTGTAGATTTGAAAATAATTTGTTAGACCTTTAAAATTATTATATGGAACATTTATATTGATCATTAAAATGTCAAAACTTTTTGCAGCGTTTCTTATCATGCTTGAAATTTATATAAAATTATTTTGATGGTTCAACAAAATTATTTTCACGTATATTTAGCTTCTCCCAGCAAAATTGCTCTTTCCATGTACCTACATATATTATATTTGAAAGTATATATAATAAAAAAAATTTAGTGATAACTTAGAATTTGGATCAAAAATTATTTCAACAAAAAGTAAACATGTTTTTTAAAAATAATTAAAATAAAATAAAAAAGTTTTCATTTAAACTATAAAATTGTATTGTTAAATATTATAAATATAGATCTTATTTTGAATCGTTTCATATGTATCTAACATTCATTTTATACAAAAAATAAATAAATTTCCAATTTCAATCACTTTTTGCAGAGGGATTATATCCTTATATACTTGAGAGATTACATCCTTAAAGTGTAACTTGCGTTTTATGAAACAATTGATAATATTTGATAAAATAAACAAAATTTAAACAGAAAATGCATAAGTAAAAATACATGCGTAAATTAAAAAATCAGAAAAAATTCTCGCTCTGTTTATTTACTAATACTTGAAAAAAATACTCAAGAATAATATTCAAGAAACCTGACTCACAATTCCGGATTAGCATGAAACATACTACCAAAGAAGAACTAGTTTAATAATGCACCTGGAATGATCAAAACATGTTCCGTGAAGGAAATGCATGCTGCAAGAAAGTCAAAGAGTCAAAAGAAAATTCGTCTCTTCTTTACATCCATTTGTCCCTCTTACTTTCTCTCCTTCCCCTTATGCCCCTGCGTCTTGTATCTTCTCTCTCGCTCTTCCTCTTGTCCTAACTCAATTCGAACATCGGCTGTTCTGCGAGGCTACATATAGAAAAGTAAGAGAAAAAGATGAAGAGAGAGAAAGATATGGATATACATATATATATATAAAGAGAGAGAAAGATTTCAGCGCCGCGAAGAGCTACTCGAGTCATGCATTTAGTCAGACCAGCCCAGTTCAGTTCGTCGAATTGCAGTGGAAGTGCATAATAGTTGGTGCAAGTCACAGCCGCCGGATGATCAGTCTGCCTCGGCCGTCTGCCTTTCCGTGATCCAGCACGTGCGCGCCAAAATATCGCCTATGACACGTATGCCATATCCCGGCGTCGATTCCGGGAATGTCGCACTATCAGCGATAGTGATTTCGTCCGGAACATCCCAACCGGCAAGAAGGCGTCACAGCCGAGCCGGAGGCTGCGGGCCGCGCGACGAGAGTCGGCGACGAGAGAGCGCGTTTAGTCGGTTCGCAGGAGTCGGGCAGGTCGGTCGATTCGCTCTCGACCCACCACCGATCAGCTGTTCGCCGCCGCTCGCTCCGGCGACAGTCCGACGATCGACCGTCAACACGTGCACGCGTTCCCGACTCCCGACTCGAATCAGCCGGCAGCGGCAGCTGATATTATACGTGCTGCTAATGTACAAGCACCGAATTTCGCGAACGGCGAACAGTTTTTGACGTTCCTACCTACGATTAAATTGTGCTCGCGCGGGACCACACGAAGTGTCAATCAGGGATCATTCAATCTAGAATTAATTATCAGTCTAGAGTTAATTATACAGTCATTTTGTCTAGAGTTAATTATCCAGTCATCCAACCTAGAATTAATTATCTAACTATCCAGCTATCGCTCGAGAGCAGGAATTTAAAACATACATGCACATTTCGCGTCGTTTGATTGCATTATCAGACGAATCCGTTCTTTCTATTCAAACTCGCGAGTTCGGTGGACGTCTGTTGAAGAGGATCATTGAAGAACGAGGATTTTTAGGGTGATAAATCGCTACCACCGTTGTGAATGTGCAACCGACGTGAAAAGTCGCGCATAACGCTTGAATCAATCGAGCGTAGAGCAAACGAAAAATTATCCGATTTGTAGTTCGCGACAATACTGAACGAGCCGGAAGAGGAAAAAAACTGAGAACGCGATTTCAAATTCCTCTTGACGACGTGCGTTAGATCGATCTACGATTAGCACAGTAAGTACTGGCATTCCTCGCACTCGCTCTCATGTTGTTCGCAATTTCCAATTTCGATGACGAACGCGGATATAGCTTTGAATAAATCAAGTGTGAAATGGACTTTATTGAGTGAAGGCTTTATAGGAATGTGAATTTCGAACGATATAACAAAGCGAAGACTTTTTTCCCGATTGATTGAAGCAACCCTTTAAAGCGAGATTTTCTTTCGGTTCAGAAGAAAGAACAGAAAGCTCCTTATAAGGGTGACTACCGCGGCTCGCTCGTCGATATTCAGTAGGATTTTCCGATTTCCAAAGAGTTCTCTATCGAATCTATGAGGTTTGTGCGTGGCTTTTCTGGGTTTCAACGCGAGTAAAATCAAATGCACGAGTATTTCCACGGAGTTTTCCGACCGCTCGAAGTACATCATGGCCTTGCTTTTCAAATAGCTTTCTTGAGCTCCCCTGAATTCCTAGTAAAAATGTGAAAACGTCAATCGTCCATTAAAGCAACAGAAATTGCTTTTTTTAGGAAACATTGTGAAACAATAATACCATATCTCGACGAGCGAGAACACGTTAAAATCAGCGTTGATACATAAAACAGTCCGATCAAAATAAAATTAGAATCAATTTACTGACTTCATACGTTAGATGTTCATAAATAATGATTGAGTTCAATTTTATTTTCGATACATGTAATAGGGATGATCTGAAATTTATAGGAAATGTGTCACGAAATGACAGAGATATTTCCGATTGTGTTCACAAAATATTTCTAAAATCACAGGAAAATGTCGATATGGTTGGTATGAGACTATCGTGTAGCTTTACAGAGAAAACTCCGATATTCTCCGTGACGGCGAATATTCGGATAAGGAAACGACTATGGCACTCAATAATCTGCATACCGTAAATATGTTTACAGCAATTGTTTTACGGTGACAGAAAATTACCCAGTACCACTTCATGCCTCTTTTGTCTGGTTATCGTACGATCATTTTGACACGCGTGCTCAAACCTGTGCACAGATCGTCGCCGACGGATTTCGATGAATGTTTCTAAATAACAGGTTTTGTTGCTCGAACTTTTTTCCTTGGCACGAACGCGTAGCAAAATATTTGTAGCCGCCTAAACGACGTCCGACCGACCTTCTCGCTCGAATTCTCGGACGAATTTAATACAATTAATATGGTTTATACATCAAGCGACTGGAAGTACGCGATACCGTTCCGTCTCGCATCCGTTCACGCAATCATTGGTAAACGAATCAATCATAAGACTGCCGGTTGATTCGTGCCAGGATCAAATGATGTAAACACGAAAAGGATCTCTGAGTATCGGTTTGAAAGATGTCCATCGTTCCTATCGATTTACTATTATACGAGGTTATTTCACGTCTTTATTGGTAAGTTTGCGTCGCAATAAAAAAGTTCGTATATACATTTGATATTTGAGAAAATTCGTAATCTTAAAATTCTAATATATTCAACATTTTATATAATATATTCAATAACATTGCTCAGTTTTTCGAAAAAAAAGCTATCGAATAAATTTAAAGTTAGTTCGTAATGTAAGCAAAATTGTAAAGAATAAAAAATCGTTTTAATACGATAATATATTTCGTAGAGCAGTGTGTGTGTGTGTGCATCTGATGCATTTTTTTCTCATTAATTATCTGTGTCATACTCGTTAGGTATGTGGCATAACAAAATGACTAACGATCATTCATTGTATAATTATTTCTCAGAAATATTCCTTATATTCGAATTCTCCTTGTACTCTATTTTACGGAGGATTATAAATTACATTTTTTTTTTCATAAATATGGAAATTTATTATTTTACTTTATCTTATTATATGTCGTATCTTATTTTATAAACAGGCAAATTCGTAGAAATCTTGGTGATGCCTTACCTTTTGCTGTTGCAATAAATTATATTATTAATATTGTATCAAATGACAATTAATTAACGACGAATATCACTTCAATTCGACACAATTAAAATTTTCTGAAATTAACTTTTATATATTATATTTTTATCTAAAATAACTATGTTTCTGTTATATTTTTTTATTTATTTTGCAGAATTTTTTAAAAAGATATAATTTCCTATCATTATTAATTGATTTATTTCTGCATTATATGATGTTGTAGCGAAGTGTTAACGTAAAACGAGTAAAAAAATTAAATACCTCTAGGAAAATCGCTTTTAGATTCATACGATAAATATTTCCCAGACTTAATCCATTTTGCAAATATTGATTCTATCGTGCCGATGTAACTGCGATGCAAGCAAAATCATTATTAATGATAAGATAACGTAGTTTAAGCTGATTAACGCACTACTGGTTAATCTTCCGGATGGTGCAATCTACGATTTAAAAATTTTATTATCAGTCAATATTGTATTTCTTCTCTTTCATGGTCACACAAAAATATTCGTTGTGATTATTCTAATGTAACATGTGTAATATTTGTTGAACCCAAAAGTTTTATTCCAAAAGACATTTCTTTCTAAAAAAAAGAGAAGCGTTAAAAAAGTAGATTGGCAGCAGGAAAACATAAATATCGAAAGTATAATGTGATAATGAAGCACGGGAAAATATAATTACTTCGGGAACGTAGAAAATCTTGACTCTACGACAACGCTTGTACAAAAAGTAATTACCATACAAAATGTTAGTTACCATAACATCGTAAGATAAAATCAACATCCATGTATTAGGTGATAAAGGCTAGTGAAATTCTTATCGTTAATAAATCTATGATACGATTAATTATGGTTGATGATAATTAAAAGAGATACGACAATTTTACAGGGTTACACATTGGTTGATTAAAAATAGCAAGAAATACTCCGCTAAAAGCTACTTGCTGGAATGTTCACTTTTAATTAGCTCTGACATTAGGACCGACTCGTATTCAGACACATTCAAATATCTTCATCGTATGCGTGTACTATCCAATATGTCCTTTCCGACCAAATCCGAGAAATAGCAGGAAGATCTGTAGTGAATATCAACGTGGAATTAAAATAAGAGACATAAGTTTAACGAATATCTCGGAGTTTAATCGATGAAAGTGGATTGGCAGCTGTATAAAAATCAGAGTACACTCCATTTTTCGACTGAAAGATTCGCGGAAACTTCGCAATCCAATTTTTAACATTTCGTCGGAAACGCTTCGTACAAATTTGCGATCTTAATTGTTTCATAACATAGTTATATACTCCCGTTCCTTAAAAATAAATATTACTTTTCCACGTTTAGATATTTCTACATCATAAAATGAAATAATTTCTTTTTTTACGAAGAAGAAAATGTAATTTTAATTGCAATGAACACTCGAACTTTTTCATTAGAATAAAATAAAATTATTGCTGAATCAATTCAGCTTGATACATATAGGCACAGAATAAATAATATTTTTATATGTATTTTAGAATAATTCCAATAAGCTGTGTATGTTTGTGTGTGTAAAATTAATTATAGATTATTTATTTTCGATACGATTAATTTTGAAAGATCGTATGGCTGGACTTACATTTGATGATTAAGTCTAAGTACAGGACTTACATGTGCTGGCACCGATGAGACTAGTATTTTCGCAAAGTATTTCCCAGAGGTATTCATGATGCCCACACAGATAATTTAATTGAAAAAGAAGGTTATTTTCGATTGGAGATTTCGCTTTGTTCTATTATCACCAATGATAAATGAATACCCAGTAGAAATCTACTTTGTAATAATGATGTTACCAGCAAGATCACATATATACAAGTAACTAATAATAAAAGTGATTTTTGCAAAATACGTTTAATGTTCTACTCGCTGCTTTTAATAAATATTAAATTTCCGTTGATGAAGAGGACATGAAAATTAAAAATAGAAATAAAATAATATTCTATAACATTCGATACATTCGACTCTCCGATACAGATTTAGATTGTATACATATCTACTGACCGCGTTCAAAAGATAAAAATGTATTTCTGGACGTTTTAAAATATTATATCGCATGAAAAATATTCTGTAACAGACGAGTCTATAGCATAAATAATATTCTATAACAGATATTTTCATGTCATTGTTTTCTTTATTACTAAAGAATTACCGAATGTCAAATAGCATTTATTAAATTTTCTGATCATTATCTATAAAATGTAAGTAAATTGAAGTGCCCATATAGTGAAAGAGAAATATATTGATAGCATATTTACATAATGTTATGCGTAATTAATTAATGATTGATGATATTGATATAGACATTGTTAATCATTCATAATATATGTTTGCATAATGAAGCAAAAAAACTTCATAATGTGCTACTTATATAATAAACTACTCATTGATTCGAAAAAAAGAAAGAATTTCGACCGAAAGGATAAATTGATATTTAAACAATCTATCATTTAACGATTTAATTTGTTATATTTGTTAAAAATTCGCAATTCTATTAAAATATATAAAAAATATCGCTTTTGATCTCTCCACATATTTTTAACTCACTAATATAATATCTGTACATTCATATTCTTTATTTCTGATTACAAGTGTGATCGCTAATGCGCATTGTAATTATGTTTTCTTAATATCCTGAATATTTACAACAGAACGACATAGTATATAAAACTATTACATAAACATGATTATATGACAAATTTTCGTATGATAATCTTTTTAAATAATGCATTAGTACAATAATATTATTATCATATAAGTATTTATTGGGTTATAATTTATGAGAAAAATTAATATATTACTTTAACGCAGAAATATGTGTACATTCTAAGAAATATCGATATTTAACATAAACTATTGTACAGTAATTTTCATCATGCTAGTGTCAATATCAATATGTGGATTTATTGCTATAAATTTCAAATCCATACATGATGATGTTGATATCAGGTATCAAGAATTTTAAATTTGCATCAATATTTTTTAAAGTGTAGTATGAATATTATCGCGAAACTTCTTCGATAATGTAAATTGGCAATCGTTTCGCATATCGTT